GGCATGTCAATCTCGCCTGGGGGGTGTTTTCTTGGTTTCTGTCTCTTTGTCTCTCTCTGTCTGTCTGGCGAACACACGTGCCCTATAACAAAAAAAAAAAAACTCTCCAAAAAAAAAAAGAAATTATATTTAAGTAAAAAGAAGCAGAATTCACCACCACTTAGAAATAATCACCACTTTCACACAGCTCCCTTTGGTTACAGCCCCTAAAAATATTATATTTATATAAATATTAATATTTATATACACATTTTATATGTATGGACTTATATTTATAAAAGATTCATTTGTATATCTTTTGTAACGATCATACTTTATATAGTGTTTGTAACCCACTTTTTAAGGTACATTTATTTATATATGTGTACAGTATAATCATATTAAGTATTTATATTAATATAATTTCATAATTTGTTACATTTTCTACAAAATAATTTTAATAGCTGAATTGCATTGTATTGTATTTTTTAAGTGTTCTGTTTTCATTCTTTGTTTTTTTCAGTTTCTGCAATTTTTTTTCAGTTTCAGCCTCCCTGAGTTATGGGATTACAAGTGCATACCACTATGCCTGGCCTTGAGGTTGGACAGAGAATCAAACCTAGGCCTCCCATGTGGTCCCAACTCATGAAGCACAGTATCTTAGCATCACCCGCCACCTTGGCTGGACCTGTTATTTTTTTAAATAGCACTTTAATGAGTTTCTATGTAACTAGGATTTACCCGTGATCTCTAATTGTTTTCTAGAACACATTCCTACAATCTGTCATTAGGTCAACAGACATGAGAATGGTTCTTGGAATGCCCATGGTGCTGGTGTGTATTTGGCTTTGGAGTGATTGCTGTCATCATAGGGCTGACGTTTTGTTTGTTTGTTTGTTTGTTTGTTTTCAGTTTTTGCAATGGGCAACATCTACTTTGGTTAGGTTTTATTCCTGCCCAGTAGCCTCCTTGTGCTGTTGCTATCAGGGGTCAGTATGCATTCATCCAAAGGCCCATATGGCATCATCCCCTGACGTCATGACTGTATCATTCCATCCAAGTAGGTACAGAAATTTAAAAATCCAGATCATCCTCATCACCTAAACGTTGACCTAGAAATAGAACTGAACTATTTTTCTGGGTCAAGTTCTACTACCAACTGCAAGAATCCCAGGCTATTTTAATTTTTAAACTTAAATTTAAAAATCTGACTACACACAGCCTACATTCTAAAAGCTAGGTGTTCCCAGCAGCCATGCAGTCATTTAACCTTTACATCCTTCTCCATTAGGTCAGACGTGTCATCCTCAATTCCTACTGCCTTCATAAAAGTTTAGTGTTTGCATTGGAGAGGTAATTCCTCTATTGCTGAGAAACTCTCTTTTCCCTGTACTTCTACCATTAAGATTCCTCTTGGAATCCTAATATCCCTGCTGTTCAAGTACCAAGTGTAATTCTAATATAGAAAAATAGCATTCAGAGCTTTTCTCATGCACAGTATGAATCAAGCATTCTTAACATGTCCCCTCTATGTGCTGGATCTTTGTAAATATATTACCCACTAGAGTAGGACAAATATAATGCTGTCAATTGAATGGAACTGTGTATAAAGCAAAAGCTTTGAAAATAAATGCCCTGCTAGCAAAAGTTGGAGAGGCACTGAAAAAAAAAAAAAAAAGGCTGTAAAAGAATGCTAAAATGCCTTTAAAGGCACATGGGAGAATGTCTTAGTCTATAAAAATCCAGGGTACCAACCAAGCCCTATTATACAAAAGAGGATAAATTAAGAAGGAGCCTACAAGAGAATTCTTAGCTTTTCAAAAAAAATCATATCAGGATTTATTCATGTAGATCTAGTGTTGTTTATCCCTTGCATTGACTCTCAGTGCCAACAGTACCTGCAAAGGGAATCAAATGGTCGCATTCATTTCATAAAGTTAAACAGACAGACAGACACACACACACACATAATCACGTTATGAATAAAAAAACAACTTTATGAATTAATTAGCACCTATAAAATGAGCTCTAGAAATGATAAGTGGGCTTCCATTGCTCATGCTGATAAATCAATTATTAAAAGTTAGTGGCAGGGCATTATGTTGAGAAGTATTCCTAGGTCTCATTTTGACTCAGCAAGAAAAAGTGCTAACTAGCAACATCTGCCATAGGATCTGGCAGTGAAGAGACAGCATGAGTGTCATTTACATGTCTGTTTCATAGCAAAGACCACATTTTTCTTTTTCCTTCATTCAGCCTCCATGTGAGGGCCTGCTCTCGCCCACTTACTAAGTGCATGAGTTTAAACTAGTCACTTAATCTCTCTATAACTTGGTTTTCTTTACTATAAAATACGGGATAGCAAGAGACCTAACTTACAGGATATTTGCAAGGACTAAAGGAGTTAAATTATATAGAGCATTATGAGTTACGCCAGGCATATAGCATTTTAATTCTATGTAAGTATAAACTGTTATTACTATATGACAATATATTATATTATAATTTCCTAACCATTGACTTGTGAATGGCCACAGTCACTGGCCACATTACCTCCCACAGACATACCCCAAAAAAAAAAAAAAAAAAACAAGGGAAAATCACAA